AGGAATCGGGTCTTCGAAGGGAGTGAAAAGTGAATCGATTGTCCCCAAATTCTCTCTCTTTCACCCCAAACCCCCCACGGTCATGAGTAGTTCACGTATGTTGGGACCTATCGACGACACGGGTGAAGCAAATCCTTGCTAGTTGACGTTGGCTGTTTTTTTTTCCCCACCACCATCCCCCCCCCCACCCCCCCATCCCCAAACGCACCTAAGCCCAGAGGGTCACTCACCCTGGAGGGAGCCTGTTGCCTATCGCTGGGCCCTGCCCCATGCCCGATGAAGAAGCTGGTGGAGATGTCAGTGGAAGGAGAGCCCGAGGGAGATAAGGTCGGCCTCTTGAAGCCCGAGTTCCTGGCCCCTTCCCAGGGGGGGAAGGCGGAGGTCGTGGGGCAGGGAGGTCCTGTCAGCCAGCAGCCTCGCCTCGGCCTCAAGGACGAGCTGGGGGGAGAGGAGGAGAGCGGAGGGGGAGGTGGAGGAGGAGGAGGAGGTGCTGGTGGAGGTGTGGTGGTGGTAGCACGGCCAAGGAATGGCATTCAGCCTCTCCAGCAACAGCAACAGAGGGCCTACAAGAGACGCAACACGTTCAACGTGGGCTTCAAGCACCCAGGCTCCAAGCGCAGACGCAGAGCCAACTCGGACTGTGACCCCGTCCTGCCCAGTAACTTCCTCTTGGGGGGCAACATTTTTGACCCCTTGAACCTCAACAGCCTGCTGGACGAGGACGTCAACAAGGCGCTCAACGCCGAGACCCCCAAGTCCTCGCCGCTGCCCTCCAGGAACCGGGACCCCGTCGAGATCCTCATCCCCAAGGACATCACCGACCCCCTCAGCCTGAACTCGGGCAACGACTCCGAGGTCCTCCCGTCCCCGCTCAAGGTGGTCCGCAAGCGACGGCACCGGCACTACCACCACCCGCCGGCTCCCCATCCTCCTCCCCCCCCGCCCTCGGGGCAAGCCGCGGACACCACCGGCAAAGCCCCCGGCAGAGCAGCCCCCCACCCGCCCACGGCAGCCGCCACGGCGGCCCCTCCTCAGGACTGCCCGGCGAAGGAGAACGTGTCGGCGGGGGGCGAACCCCAGGAAGGTCCGCAGCCGTACGAGCTGAACACGGTGATCAACTGCCGGGACGAGATCGTGTCTCCCGTGCTGCGGGGGGCGGAGGCGGGCGGCGGCCCAGGCTCGGGCTCCGGTTCCCGTCACCGCAAGAGGAGGCGGACCACCAGCCGGTCGGAGGCGGTCAAGCCGGGGGCCGGGGGGGCAACGGAGGAGCAGCAGCAGCGAGCCCCGGGCTCCGAGCTGAAGAAAACCACCCCGGAGAAGGGCAAGGGGAAGGCCTCTCAGCACCACCACCATCACCACCACCACCAGAACTCGCACAGGCCGCCCGGCCCCGGGAAGGACAGCAGCCGGAACTTGCCCAACTTCAAGAGCAAGCAGAAGAAATTCCAGTACGGGAACTACAGCAAGTATTACGGCTACCGGAACCCGGGCCGCGGGGAGGACCCCCGGCTGTGCGTCCTGAAGCCCCACTGGTTCTCGGGCAAGGACGTGCTGGACTTGGGCTGCAACTCGGGCCACGTGACCCTGAGCATCGCCAAGCACCTGAAGCCCTCGCGCATCGTGGGGCTGGACATCGACGGGGCCCTGGTGCACACGGCCCGGCAGAACATCCGCCACTTCCTGTCGCAGGACCTGCTGCCCCCCCGGGGCCCCGGCCAGGCCCCCCGGCAGTTCCCCCTCTCGCTCACCAAGTGCAAAGGCCCCATCGCGGCGCCCCCCGTCTGCCTGGACGCGTCGGGGCCGGAGTTCCCCAACAACGTGGTCTTCTTCCAGGTGAGGACGTCTGAGACATTGTGTGTGTCTCTCTCTCTCTGTCTGTCTGTCCTGTTCTTGTTTCGTTTAGCTCACAAGACACACAGTCACTACACTTTCCGTCGGGCAGGTTTCCTCACTACACGCACACACACACACACCCCCACACGTCTGTGTCCCCGGCAGTCAGTCGCTCGTCAGGCGATCGGGGGATCACTTTCCGGGGGTAACAATCCCTTCAAAACCATAACAATTCGGTCGCTTCAACCCCACGGCTGTTTGTGGGGGCGTCGCTGGGCGCCATCGGCTGCCGTGCCTCGCCCACAAAACACACGCACAGTCACTACACTTGACGGTGTCTCCTGCGAAGGGCTCCGGTGAGACGTCTCGACGACGGGATAAGGCGCCGGATCAAACGTTTGGTTCCTTCGAGACTCTCCTCTTCGACCGACGGCGCCTTCGGTCGCCCTCCACCGAGGATCGGATCGGTTTGAAACTCCTCGGGCTCCTCTTCAAACCCCGTCACTCCCCCCTTCCTCCCTCCCCACCCTGCTTCCTCCCCTACTCCCCCCACCCCCGCCCCCCACAGTCACTACACTCCGCAGTGTGTCCTGCGAGGTGCCTTGAGACGAGATCAGGCGCTGAGTCAAATTGCCAGGAATATTATTATAGTATTAGGGTCACCTCCCCTCTCTCTCTCCTCTCTCCCCCTCCCACCCCCCCCCAGTTCCGCTACTGTTAAGCTTCCAAAACTCTGCCCCATGTGAAGGTTGCCTTATAAACACAAGTTATCATTATTTCCCCGCCCCTCCGTCTCGTCCTCTCTCCCTCCCTCACTCCCTCCCTCTCTCTGCCTTTAAGTCCCACCTCTTGTCGGGGCCAATGGCCGTTATATATTATATATTACGGTGCGTATAAGCTTGTCAGGAACTGATCTAATGAAGAGCTCAGGAGGGACTTCTTCACACGCGCGGGGCGTGAAGACGTGGAGCTCAATCACCGCAGGAAGCTGTGGTCGAAGCAGAAGACATCAACGGGTTTAAGAGGGATGCAGACACGTGGGAGAGGGCAATAGAGGGGTGGGTGTGTGTCTCTCTTGCGCTCTGTGTATGTGTGATTCTCTCTCACTGTGTGGGTGTGTCTGACTGTTATGAAGGTCTGCTGTACATATATATATTTATCTCACAAAATATACAGTCAGTTCACTGCACAATATGTTCTGTGAAACGCTGTGAAACGTCTTGAAGGCGCGATAAGGCGCTGTATCAAATGCAAGGATTATTGTTGAGAGGGGAACCCGGCTGTTAAGTCGATTGGCGGATCGCTTTTCCGGGGGTAATGATCCCTTTGAATAAAAAATAACAATTATAATAATGATTTTGGTCACTTCAATCCACGACTGTTTGTGGGGCACTGCTGTACGCGGTTGGCTGCCGCGTTTCGCCCGCAAAATCTACGGTCGATTTACTTTAATAATAATAATAATAACCAGTAATAATCCTTGCATTTGACCCGGCGCCTGATTATGGCGTCGAGACGTCTCAAAAGCGCTTCACGGGGCGCACACCGTAAAGCGTAGTGACTGTGTCTTGCGGGCGAAATGCGGCAGGCAGTTAATTGCGCGTGGGGGGGGAGGGGGGTGTCCTGCGAAGCGCTTTTTGAGGCGTCTCGATGAGGTCCTGTATCACACACGCAAGGATTATTACTGTTATTGCTGCTGCTGTTATTATACGTGTAAGTCCGGCTAACGGTCGTGTTCTGCCCACAGGGGAACTATGTGCTGGAGACCGATGAGCTGTTGGACACGCAGAAGCCAGAGTACGACGTGATCCTGTGCCTGAGCCTCACGAAGTGGGTTCACCTGAACTGGGGGGACGAAGGTCTCAAGCGCATGTTCAAGCGCATTTATAGGCACCTGCGCCCGGGAGGCATCTTCCTCCTGGAGCCTCAGCCCTGGTCTTCCTACGGCAAACGGCGGAAACTCACGGTGAGGAATTTACGTGCTCCGTCGCTGTCGCCTGGCGGCGTAGAATTGTACAGCGCAGAAGGAGGCCATTCGGCCCATCGTGTCCGCGCTCCTCCCCATAGCCCTGATCAACCCCACTCCCCCACGCTCTCCCCCCCATGGCCCTGCAAACTTGTCCTCCCCCAATAAGTATCTACTCCCCTCCGTTTCTTTTTAACAACTATTTTAAACCTGTGCCCTCGGGTTACCGCCCCACCCGCCAAGCAATCTGGGCACCTCCCTGTGTGAGGGCCGCTGTCCGTATGGAGTCCTGGGGCTTTTAGTGGTTTCAGGGCCTTGGGAGGGGAACGAGACAATCTCTCAACGTGAAAGGCGCCGCACACGTGTAAATAAGTTGTCGTTGTTGGGAGTGGTCGTGGAGTCCCAGTGGCTCAGCGGTTTGAGCCCTCGCCTCGCAAGCGGGAGGACCCGGGTTCAATTCCTGGGGCAGGTCAGGTCAGAGCGAAACACACACACACACACACACACACACACACACACACACCTCTGCTTAAGTGGGAACCCGCTTGTCAGTCGATTGGGGGATCACTTTCCGGGGCTAATAATCCCTTCGAAACCCTAATAATAATTCGGTCACTTCAACCCACGCGATCGGCTGCCGGGTTTCGCCCACAAAACACGCACAGTCACTACGCTTTGCAGTAAACCCGCGCCAAGCACTTTTGAGGCGTCCTCCTGACCTGGTTCCGAACTCGATGCTTGTTAAGGGGTGAGGTGTAGCGGCTGTGTTTCGTGTAGTGAACAAGTTGTCTGTGCCTCTCTCTGAACCTGACCCCCCCCCCCCCTCTCTCTCTCTCTCGCCCTCTCTCGCTTCAGGAGACAATCTACAGGAACTACTTCAAGATCAGTTTGAAGCCAGAACAGTTTACGTCCTTTCTGCTGTCCTCTGAGGTTGGCTTCTGCAGCTACGAGTTGGTGGGAACTCCTCTAAGCACATCCAAAGGTGAGTGTCCCTTCGGCAGTGTGTCATTCTCCCCTTACCCAGCCCGCCCCACCCCCATCCTTAATGTCCTGTGGCTCTGCGGTTAGACCCCTCGCCTCGCAAGCCAGAGGACCCGGGTTCGATTCCCAGGTGGGTCAGGTCAGGTTGCGGCGAAACCTCAGGCAAATTCCCTTACTCCACACGCGCCTCGGTTTACCCAGTCGGATCGCTTTGCCGGGGGTAGTAATCCCTCCAAAAAAAAAAACTCCCATCGTAGAGTCCTACAGCACAGAAAGAGGCCATTCAGCCCATCGTGTCTGTGCTGACTCTTTGAAAGAGCTGCCAACTAGTCCCCACTCCCCCACTCTTACCCCAACTAGTCCCACTCCCCCACTCTTACCCCAACTCGTCTCACTCCCCTGACCGTTCTTACCCCACAGCCCGGCGTGTTGTGCCATTTTAAGTCCCTATCCGATTCCCTTTTGAAAGCGGTGATTGAATCTGCTTCCACCAGCCTTTCAGGCTGTGCGTTCTAGAGTGTAATGTCTGAGGGACGCCGCTGTGCGCAATTGGCTGCTGTGTTTGGCCCGCAAGATTATTATTATTATTATTATAGCGACACAAGTGGACGCAGACACAAACCCTCGCTCTCTTCTCTCGTAGGGTTCCAGCGCCCTGTTTACCTGTTTCACAAGAGTCGTCCGTCCAGCAGCAGCAACTGAAGAGACTTTGGGGGGGTTGGGGGGGAAGCCAGTTCACGTTTCCTGTTGGGGTGTTTTTTTTTTGTTGTGTGTATGTGGGGCGAGGGGAGGTATCAATGGCCATTTTCCCCCTCTCCCCTCCCTCTCCCTCCCTGACGATAAGTCTCCTTTCTTCTCAACACAAGACTGCGGGCATAGGGCGGGAGAGAGAGAGTGGTGGAAGGGGAGAGAGAGTGGTGGGGAGGGGGAGAGACGAAGAACACTGCCTTTCGATTGTCACCTTGACATACGCTGTTTAATTGCGATTCACTTCATATACACACGCACACACCACACATGCGCACACACACGCACACACAGGGTGACCAAAAAGTGATATCATTATTAATTCATTAATTAATAATAATAATAATAATAATAATGACTATTTCTTTGTAATTTCTTTACCAGACTTGTCAGACATTGTAATGCTATCACAAATGTTTGGTCACCCTGTATATTAAACGGGACAGAGAGAGAGAGAGACTCGGAAGGTAAAAAGCATTTAGATTAGAGACTGTTGTGTGGGCAGTTTGGGAGGGGGGAGTGATTGTGGGGTTTCATTGAGTGTGGGGGGGGGGGGAAGGGGAGATGTTTAAACCTACCTTTTGCCTACAAAACACACAGTCACTACACTTTACTGCGTATCCTGTGAACCGCTTTGAGACGTCTCAAAGATGCGATAAGGCGCTGGGTCAAATGCCAGGATTATTATTATTATTGTCACTCCAGCAAAGCTAAGGTGGTGTTGAAGGGGGGGGGAGGGTGTGTGAGGAGGGGGGAGTGAGGTGAGGAGCCCGTCTTTAATCCTCCCAAAAGCTTTCACCTTACAGTGAGCTCCTGCAACCCACGGCCACCAAACACCAGCATTTTTACTCGGTCTGTTATGTTAGCCTATTGACTGAGGTGTTTTTTTCTCTCTCTCTCTCTTTCTCTCTCTCTCTCTCGTTCCTCTCTTTCTCTCTCTCTCTCCCTTGTGCCAAATGCTTGATTTCGCTCGTGGAGTCCCTGTAGCACAGGGGTTAGACCCCCCTCGCCTCGCAAGTGAGAGGACCCGGGTTCGATTCCCCGGGCGGGTCAGGTCGGGGCGAAACCTTTGGCAAGTTTCCCCCCCACCACACAGACACACTGTGTGTGTGTGTTAGTAGGAACCCGCTTGTTAGTTGACTGGGGACTAATAATACCTTCTCTCTCTCTCTCTCTCTCTCTCTCTCTGACGCACTCTCTGTCTCTCACATTCTCTCTCTAGTTCGGGTTTTTAAAAAGCGACGTGAATTTTTTTTCTTACATTAAAAAAAAATTGCAAATCGGGGTTTCGCGTTGGCACAGCGCCTCTCACCTCGGAAGGGTGTCCCCCCCAACACGGCTTGAGCTCTGGGTGAAAGCCGAGCGTGCGCGCAGAGTGGGGGGGGGGGTTTGGGCCACCAGAAACGGCCACGTCTAAATGCCTTGCACCTCTGTCTCTTAACCCCCCCCCCCCCCCGCTCTGAGGTGGGTTCAGTGCAGTTAACAATGTGCAGTCCTGTCGTTCAGTGGTTAGAGCCCTCGCCTCGCAAGCTAGAGGACCCGGGTTCGATCCCCGGGCGGGTCACGTTGGTGTGACACCTTAGGCAAGTTTCCTTATTCCGCGGCCAGACGCACACAGACCGACGACGCGCCTCTGTTGACCAGCAGTCGGTGGGAACCCGCTTGTCGGTCGATTTGGCGGATCGCTTTTCCCGGGGGTGATAACCCCTTCAAAGAAAATAACAATAATGATAAATTGGTCACCCGATCCACCCCACGACTGTTCGTGGGGACGCGGCTGGGCGCAGTTGGCCGCCGTGTTTCGCCCACCAGGAGTACGCGGCCGATTCGCGTCGCAGCCTATCCTGCAAAACGCTTTGAGACGTCTCGAAGACGCGATGAGGCGCCGGATCGACGCCAGGGTTGTCACTGTTTGCTGCACAGTCTGACTCGGGGAGAGAGATGATTGTTTGTTGGTGTTTTGATTTATTATGTGTTATGCGGGAGGGGCGGGGGGGGGGGTGGTGGGGAGGGAGCGGGGGGACGCGAGGGAGAGAAGGGGCACAAATTATAAGTGAAGTTTTAAAAACCTTAGTAGCTTTAACATCGACCTTCACTGCCTTTTACTGTCTTGATTTTTTTTTTACGCTCGGATCTTTTGTGAAGTTTCTTTTTCCTTCCTCGTCTTATCGACTCACCATTAAACACGGCCTTTTTGACGAGAGAAGCAACAGAGATAATCTCTCCCGGTCGCTACGAAACGAGATTGTTCCGTGTGTGCGTGTGTGCGTGCGCGCGCGCGCGTACGTTGGGGTGCGGGGTGGCTAGTTAATAGTCACTTAACGCTCCCCCTTTCAGCCGTGCGGGAGGTTTGACACGGGACAGACCGTCGTTCGAGGCGACTGGTTTGGGGTGCGAGTTGGGGTTGATCTCTCCGATGGCAAAAATGTCACGTGGCTCCCCTTTCGTGGCTTAGATCGACTCGCACTGTGTAACCCTCGCGCGCGTGTGCTCGTGTGCGTGTGTGTGTGCGTGCGCTCGATTGCTTTTTAAGCGTCCAAATCTGGAGCGAGTCCTGTAGCGCAGCGGTGAGAGGGCGCCCCTCACAAGCGAGAGGATCCAGGTTCGATTACCGGTCGGGGCGAGACGTTGGGCAAGTTTCCTTACTCCGCGCGCGCGCGCACGCGCCGCCCCGTTAGTGTTAGCGATAATCAGCGATCGCCGGGCGCAGTCGGCTGCCGCGTTTCGCCCACAAGACGCGCAGTCACCACACTGCGGAGGGTATCCCGTGAAGCGCTTGGAGACGTCTCGGAGACGCGATAAGGCGCCGGGTCTAACGCCAGAATTATTATTATTATAAATTAAAGTTGGAGCCTTGTTATAATGCAGTTGTCTTGTGTTCAGATATATTCAGACCCCCCCCCCCCACCCACCCACCCACCCACCACCCTTGAGTGGTGTAATTCCCGGGTGGGACAGGTCAGGGCGAAACCTTAGGCAAGTTTCCTTACTCCCCCCCCCGACGCGCGCACAGGCAGTCAGTAGGAACCCGCTTGTTAGTCGATTGGGGGATCACTTTCCGGGGGTAATAATCTCTTAATAGTAATAATAATAATAATTCAGTCGCTTCAACCCCACGGCTGTTTGTGGGGACGTCGCCGGGCGCGATCGGTTGCCGCGAAACACACGGTCACTACACTTTGGGACGTCTCAACGACGCGCTCAGGCGCTGTGTCAAACCAACCCCAGGTTTATTATTATTATTATTATTGTTATTATTGTTGTGATGAAGGTGATGTCAGGCTGTGTGAGGTGACTACATTTCCCAGAGGGCCGAGGTGGCGCATGCGCGGCGAGGGGGGGGGTACGGTCAAGCGGGTGGCGCATGCGCGGTGGGGGGGAGGGCAGGCGGGCGGGTGCGCATGCGCGCCGTGGGCACGGGTGGTGTCCATGGTGACGGGGCCTAGTGGAGCTTTGAGCCCAGTGAAGCCTGTGCCACAGAGAGCGGCTCCTCCGCGGGATTACAGGCGCCGAGCGCGGGAGGAGACCAGGCCACGAGGAAGGGGGGAGCCGCCGAGGATGGAGCCAGGTGTGTAGGGTCTTGTTTCTCTTTCTCCCCGAAACCCCGGGGGGGGGGAAGCCGAACTCGAGCCCGAGGCCTGAGGCCTAGGCTGTGTCGTCACCACCCACTCAACTGGGACCCCAGGAGCAGGAGGGGGCCATTCCGCCCCTCAAGCCTGTTCCACTGGGGCCCCAGGAGCAGGAGGGGGCCATTCAGCCCCTCAAGCCTGTTCCACTGGGACCCCAGGAGCAGGGGGGGGGCATTCAGCCCCTCAAGCCTGTTCCACTGGGACCCCAGCAGCAGGAGGGGCCATTCAGCCCCTCAAGCCTGTTCCACTGGGGCCCCAGGAGCAGGGGGGGGCCATTCAGCCCCTCAAGCCTGTTCCACTGGGGTCCCAGGAGCAGGAGGGGGCCATTCAGCCCCTCAAGCCTGTTCCACTGGGGTCCCAGGAGCAGGAGGGGGCCATTCAGCCCCTCAAGCCCGTTCCACTGGGACCCCAGGAGCAGGAGGGGGCCATTCAGCCCCTCAAGCCTGTTCCACTGGGGCCCCAGGAGCAGGAGGGGGCCATTCAGCCCTCAAGCCTGTTCCACTGGGGCCCCAGCAGCAGGAGGGGCCATTCAGCCCCTCAAGCCTGTTCCACTGGGGCCCCAGGAGCAGGAGGGGGCCATTCAGCCCCTCAAGCCTGTTCCACTGGGATCCCACCTACACATGGAAATTCCCTGAGATAGATTGAGGCTCCCCACTCCCTCCCCTCCCCCCAAAGCCTTGGCTCTCGCCTGCCAGCCTGCGCCTAATACTCTCCGGAATTAGGTAAGCGGTGGGGGGGGCGTCCCTCCAGGGAGAGAGAGAGAGAGAGAGCGTTCTGTTCCAACAACCTCTTTGGGGGATTTCCAGGTGTGGGGGGGATGTGGGGAATTCTCAGTTGGGTTTGGAGACTCTTAAGCCACGGTCAGACACCCCGGTTGGTCACGGTGACGGGTCTCCCCGCGTGTGGGGGTGGGGGGGTCAGACACTCCGGCTGGTCACGGTGACGGGTTACCCCGCGTGTGTGTGGGGGGGGGGGGGTCAGACACCCCGGTTGGTCACGGTGACGGGTCTCCCCGCGTGTTGGGGGGGGGTCAGACTGGGCAAAAAAAATCGAAAACAAATGTCAGCCTTGGCGTTGGCAGAGCGCAGGCAATTGAGCGATGGATGACTCACCTCCCACCCTCCCTCCCACCCTCCCTCCCCACAGGGGGAAGTGTGTAATAATCATAATAAACGTAATTAATTATTACTATAAACGTGCAAATGTAATTTTTGTTCTTGTGCTTGTTTCTCTCTGTACGGTCTGGTGTCAGCCCGGCTCAGCTGGTAGGTAACACAGTCTCTCTCTCTCTCTCTATCTCTCTCTCGCCTCAGGGTCCCTGGTTGTGGGTTCGAGCCTCGTGTCTGGACTTGAACTCCCTGTTGCTCTAATATAGCGCTGAGGGTGACTTTGTGGATTAGAGAGACAGAGACAGAGAGAGACAGAGAGAGATAACCTACTGATGAGCCAGGCTGCTGCCTGAGATGGAGTCCCGTCGCGTCGCGGTTAGAGCGCTCGCTTGCACTCACGTGGCGCCCTTCGCTCGGGGTAGGGTCCCGGAGACGTGATCAGGCGCTGGACCGAATGCAGCCATTATTATCGTGTATTATATTTTATTATATAAAGCCACCGCAGAGATCGGGAACTGACTGAGCTCACGTCTTTGACTGTAACAGAACCAGGAACAACGCTAAGGGTGATCATCCCCTTGAGCGGGTGGCGCCTCGTGTTGTTTACATTGTGCGTATTACCTTTGCCCTAAGCTCTCCCTCTCCAGTTGGTGCTACCGTGTTCCGGGTCACAGTCCTCGTCCCCGCAGCTGCCTTGAGTTTAGAAGGTCGGGCGGTTCGGTGAGGTGCTTATAACATAATATAATACCCTGCCTCGTTTCCGCCGCAGGTCAAACCGCGAGGAGCTTTGACTCGCCCTACGTGCGGCACGTCAGAAGAGACTGCCGAGGTTCGTAAGCAGGAAATCCCGAGGCCAGAGGAAGACCATTCCACGTCCTCCTTCCACCGTTCCTGGCCGTGGCTTGACATGCCGTGTCCGCAAACTGCGTACCGTCTCCCCGGGTATCGCTTCCTCACGGAAATCCATCTCACTTGCTCTTGAAGCAAACAACGGTTTCACTTCCACCGTCTGTCCGTCTGTCTGTCTGTCTGTCTGTCCCCCGGGGGGGGGGGGCAGCCTGTTCCACAAGCTTACTACTCGCTCACTGAAGTTAATAGCTCTGCAGATTTATTCTGAATTTACCCCCACCCCCAGCCACCACCCCACCTTCGATCGCAGGCCGTGTCCTCTGGATCTACCCCATCTGGTTCCTTACCCCATCTGTGATCGCCTCGGAACTCTCTCTCTCTCTCTCTCTCTTTCTCTTTCTCCAACTCCACTGCCCATCTCCATCCCTCCCCACAAATAAACCTCAGGATTAAAGCCCCCGGGATTCACCTCAGAAGCCGGGGATGGTGTCAGGCTCTGCTGGTTCTGTCTTGTCAACGGTTCCTGCAGGCCGGGCTGCCTCCCTCTCTCCCTCTTTCATTCCCTCCCTCACTCCCTCCCTTGCTCACTCCCTCTCTCATTCCCTCCCTCCCTCTCTTTCTCCCCCTCCCTCGCTCCTTCCCTCGCTCACTCCCTCACTCTCCCATTCCCTCCCTCCCTCTCTCTCCCCATTCCCCTCACTCACTCCCTCTCTATCTCATTCACTCCCTCCCTCCCGATCCGGGCCTGGGTGACTGAGCTGCCCCCAAGGGCAACGCTCTAGAGACGCAGTGAAGCCTGACGATGGCCTCGCTCTCGCCAGTGTCCAGCAGAGATGCCAACACCAACTCCAAGCCGGCCAAGGCCCTGACAGACCTGGACTTCCACTCGGGAGCCCGGATCGAGGAGATTAACAAACTGATCCAGGAGTTCGGCAAACACGAGCTGAGGGAGTACGATGATCAGAGGGCGTTAGAGGTGCACACAGCCAAGGACTTCATATTCTCCATGCTGGGTGAGCCTGCAAACCCTCTCCCTCCCTCCCTCCCTCCCTCCTTCTCTCACTCACGCCCTCACTCGCTCGCTCGCTCGTTCACTCGCTCACACACTCACTCACGCTCTCACTCACTCACTCGCGCCCTCCCTCCCCCCTCACTCACGACCTCGCGCCCTCCCTCACCCATGCCCTCACTCGCTCGCTCACGCCCTCACTCACTGTCTCTCTCTCTCTCTCTCTCTCACTCACTCACTCACTCATAGCCTCTAACCTGCTGTGATTTTGCTGATGGTTCAAGTTTCACTGTTTAACAGGGTGTGTAATGTGGAACGTTTCCTCCTGAGCCAGAAACGTTGGGCAAATTAAAGTGAATTTACTGTGTTCCTCACCTGTGCGGGACTGGGACAGTGTGGCGGGAGCTTCACTCTGCCTCTAACCCGTGTTGGATACGAACTGGTCGATTGGGGTGGGGGGTGGGGATCGCTTTTAATACACTATTATTATTATTATCATCACTTATTATTACTAATACTCTCGTGTGTGTGTGTGTGTGTGTGTGTGTGCGCGCGTGTGTGTGCGTCTGGTTGGTGTGTATGGTGCGTGTGTGTGTGTGTGTGTGCGTGCGGGCGTGGTGTGTGTTCTGTGTGTGTGTGTGTGGTATATCTGCGTGTGTCTGTTTGTGTGTGCGTGTGTCTGTGTATGCGTGTGCGTGCGCAGGGCTGGTACAGAAGCTCGACCACAAGCTGCCGGTGGCCAATGAGTACTTGCTGCTGTCGGGAGGGGTGCGCGAGGGAGTGGTGGACATGAACCCCGACGAGCTGGGCGACTACGCCAGGGGCACGGACTACGACATCGACTTCACGCTGCTGGTGCCCGCCTTGAAGCTGCACGACCGCAACCAGCCGGTAACCCTGGACATGCGTCACTCCGCCCCCTGCCACTCCTGGCTCAGCCTGAGGCTCTTCGACGAGAGCACGATTAACCGGTGGAGGGATTGCTGCACAGAGAGTGGGGCTGGGAACGGGGCTGGGGGTGGGGGAGGGGGTGGGAACGGGGCTGGGGGTGGGGGAGGGGGCGCCCACTACTTCTCCCCCACCCGAGTGGCCGATTGGTTCTTCCGCTCGGTATCTGCTGTGATCGGGGAGATCCGCAGCCACCCCCAGCGGGGGGTCCCCAGGGTGGAGAAGGTGGAGCAGAACGGGACGGTGGTGTCGGTCATCCTGAGGGCCGGGGGCAGCCGGATGCTGTACGACATTGTGCCCGTGGTGTCCTTCAAGGGCTGGCCGGCCGTGGCCCAGAACTGGCTGATGGAGAACCACTTCTGGGACGGCAAGATCACCGAGGAGGAGGTGATCAGCGGCTTCTACCTGGTGCCCGCCTGCTCGGCCTCGGGCGACCCCCAGAACGAGTGGCGGCTGGCCTTCTCCCGCAGCGAGGTCCAGCTCAAGAAGTGCATTTCGCCCGCCCTCATCCACGCTTACCAGGCCTACAAGGCGGTCATCATCAAGCTGCTCTCCAGACCCAAGGCCATCAGCCCCTATCACCTGAGGAGCCTCATGCTGTGGGCCTGCGACCGCCTGCCCTCTAGCTTTCTGTCTCAGGACGACAACACGGCTCACTTCCTGCTGGGCCTGATCGACGACCTCTCCCACTGCCTGGTCAACAAGTCCTGCCCCAGCTACTTCCTCCCGCAGTGCAACATGTTCGAGCACCTGTCGGACGAGACGGTGCTGCTGCTGGCCTGCAAGCTCTCCTCGGTCCGCACCGACCCGGCCGAGCACCTCCGCACGGCCATCGAACACGCCAAAGCCGCCAACAAGCTGGCCCAGGAGCTGCGCAAGGCCTCGCGGGGAGTCCAGGCCTCCCAGTCGGATGGGGTCCTGGTCAACGCGGGCCGGCAGGACGACAGCCTAGCCAGGAAACTCCAGCAGCTGGTGACTGAGAACCCAGGCAAGTCCATCTCCGTCTTTCTCAACCCCGAGGACGTCAGCAAGCCCCACTTCCGCATCGACGATAAGTTCTTCTGACACCAATGGGTGGGGAGGGAGGGAGGGAGGGAAAGGTGAAAGTACGAAGAGAGGTGTAAGGACACTCCTCGCCTCTGCTTATCTCCTACTGACCTCAACCCAACGGTGTTGGGAACTTGGTGCTTTTGCGGGAATAATGGGAAACGGCTGTGATGTGTGATGGATGAGCTTACAATGGAGCCTTGGCCAATCCTTTCCTCCTTCTCCCTCCCTCCCTCCCTCCGTCCTCCCCTCTCCTCTTCTCTCTTGCTCCATCTCTTCCTTCTCTCCCTTCCCTTTCCCTCCCTTCCTCTCCTTCCTTGAAGAGTTGGGTTTGAATTGAGTTGGGGTTGAGTTGGAGGTGGGTTGGTGGGGTTGGGTTTGGAAGGTGCCGGGGGCCTGAGAGGAAGGTGGGGCTGGAAGGAGGGATGGAGAGCGAGAGAAAAAGAGCTGGGGATATCTCTGGTCAGATGCCTGTTTGTCCTACATACTCTATCCTAAGGTGTTGTGTTGCGTTGAATGTGGTGGTTGTTTTGGTGCATGTGTATGTTGGTATATTATAATATTATGGTGGAGAGGAGGTGTGCGTGTGGGTGGGGGGGTGGAGAGGAGGTGTGTGCGCGGAGGGGAGGTGTGCCTGCGGGATGCGGGGGTGTGTGAGAGAGAGAGCCCCTGACTGGAGTCCAGAATGTCACAGTGTTGAGTCCCTGTGACTCAGACCTGCCTACCTCAGTTGGATGTGTCTCTCTGGGGTTCTCTGTCTCTCTCTCTTTCCCGCTAGGCTGTGGGATCGTGGGGAGAGGGTGTGGTGGGGAGAGATGGGGGGGTGAGGGCGGGGGAGAGATGGGGGATGGGGGCGGGGGAGAGATGGGGGTTAGCTCAGGGAAGGAATTACTGTGGTGACAGACCCTATCTGAAAAGAGACTTGCAAACCCCCTACACACACTCACACACACATGGACACATACACACAGACATAGACACTCACAGTCACTTACACATACAATTACACACACACACACACACACACACACACACAGTAGGTCAGGTTGGGACCATGTTTGCTTGAGGCTGGGTGAGGAGAGAAGGAAAGGGAAGGGTGAGGGCTGCAAACATCCTTCTGACCAGCCGGGGACGATTGATAGAAATCTCCCCCCACCCCCCACCTGCTGTCCCCTGTCTCTCACCCCACCCCCCCCCACCCCCCACCCTCTCCCTGCACCATTTGCCTCTCTCAACGTGTAATTCAGTTGCAGCTCTAACCGCGAGTGATCTCAGTGTCTTTGAGCTCGTGGCAGCTCCGTACAGCGTTCCAGCCTCGTGGGAAAGCCTGACACTGGGCGAGCCTGCACTCGGTCCGGGTCCCGGTAACACGCCGCTTCTCACTCGCTCGCTTCTCGCGCACGACACGCAGTCACTTCACTTTACGGCGTATCCCGCGAAGCGCTTCGAGACGTCTCCCAAGAGGTGACAGGACGCCATATCGAATGCCGGTGGTGTTATTGTTATTGCAAAACACAAAACACTGCAGTTGCTGGAAATCTGAAAGCAAAAGCAGACGTCGCTGAGAATGACCACTCTGCAGGTCGGGCAGCATCTATGGAGAGAGGAAAGTCAGTCAGCGTTTCGTCGGAACTGGGGCACGTTGGGAGGGACAGGCTTTTGTAATGTAATAATAATGTAATTATTATTATTACATTTGTGAGAGCATCTTTCACGGCGGGAGCATGTCTCAAAGTGCTTCAGTCACTACACGTGGCCATAGATTACCTGTGAGACTTGACAGTCCGTGTGATAAGGTGTTGTACAAATCCTTTTTTTTTTTAAAAAGATATACAGTATATATATATATATATATACACAGTCTATAAGAAAAATATCATTGCTTCCGATTGATTGTCCGTCTGGTAAATTGGGGGGGGGGGTGACAAAAGTAAAGTTGTTTAAAGTTACTTACGTTCAGCAAAGCTTCGAAAGGGCTGCACCTTCTAAGAATGTTTTCTTGACAATAATAATAATTTTTGTGGGAGGGGGGTCAGCCACACGGGTGTCTTGACACACGCGGAAACCCGTCACCGTTGCTCAAGAGTCTCCAAAACTGACTGAGAATTCCTGCCCCCCCCCCTCCCCTACACCTGGAAACTCCCAGAGATAGATCGTCTCTCTCTCTCTCTCTCCCTCGCGCTCTCCCTGGAGGGACGCCCCCCCCCCCCCCCCCCCCTCTGCTTACCTAATTCCGGAGAGTATTAGGCGCAGGTTGGGTGGCGAGAGCCAAGGCTTTGGGGAGGGGGGGAGCCCAGAGTGTGCGTTGGGGGTAACAGCTGGAGGTCTAACCGGCTAAACCCACACAGAGCTCGGCCATCGAGAGAGAGAGAGAGAGAGCGAGAGCGAGCGCTGTCTGGTCAAACTTTCCCGCTGCTTGTCCAGCCAGGACCACCCTCCCCGTTCGTTAGTTAGTTGGTTAGTTAGTTAGGGCTTTGGCTGCGGGGTGAACCGGAGCTGCCCCCAGTGACTGGTCAGCCCCTTCCAGGCCCTGCGCCGAGCCGAGCCGGAACGCTGCAAAATAATAATAATAATAATAATAAATAAATAAATAAATAATTCCATGTGTTGCGGGGGAGGCTGACGCGATTGAAAGCGGACCAGGAAACCTGTCAGCGCATCTACCAAATAAGCCACAGGCGTACAAACCCCCGGCCTGACGGCGTGTGTGGCGTTGGCGCTCTCTCCCCCTCGTCCTCTCTCTCTCTCTCTGTGTGTCTGAACCCGCTCAATAAAATGCCCCACACACTTAAGTGCACACTACGTTTCTCCCACTTCACTGCTGGCCAGTAAGTCACGCTGCACTTTAAACTGAGATGACTTGACACAGTGGTTGTGTTAGTGGGACAGAGCGGGGATGAGGGGTTGGGGGGGGTCAAACAAAGTGACCAAATGGAGCCCAGTGCAGGTATATATATACACATATATATATATATATATATTCCCGCAAAAAAATCTTCTCTGCTCATGAACTGATAAACGAATGTCTGTACATTGGAGATGACTGAGTATCTGTACACATTTCAAGGTTTCTGTATATATTGATCATGCACCAAAGTTGTGTATTGCTGATTAAAACGTGTGTGTACGTCTGTCTGTCTGTCTGTCTGACTGTCTGTTCACTGGAAATAAATCTCTGCGTATTTAAGCCAATTTCCTTAGCCGCCTCTTTCTTGTCCTCAAGTGTCCCTGTACGTGTCTGTCTGTGTGTGCGTGTGGTCTGTCTGTGTGTGCGTGTGTGTCCGTACATGAGTGTGTAAGTATGCGCGTGTGTCTGAGTGTGCGGTGTGTCTGTGTACCTGTCTGGGGGGTGTGTGTGTGTGTGTGTTTGTATGTGTGTGTGTCTTTATGTATGTGTGTGTATGTATGTGCGTGTGTCTATATGTATGTATGTGTGCGTCTGTGTGTATATATGTCTATGTGTGTGTCCATATGTATGTGGGTCCCATTGTGTGTGTCTCACTGTGTGTGTGTGTGGCCCCTTTAAAGAGTTGGGGGTTGTACACGGGCTCAGACACTGCGCTGTGATTGGTCGCCGTGACTGTCAATCACAGCCGCCGACTGAAACTCTGGTCCGTGATTGGCCGAGGCGCCCGTCCGTCATCAGGTGCGTCAGTCAATCCCTGCCCTGTGATTGGTCGCTCGGCCGCCCATCACCGCCCCTCTCGGTGACAGACCGCGCTCTGATTGGCTGCCCCGCTCGGTGGCCGCCCCGCCCCCCCCCCCCTCCGCTGCTGCTGGTCACCGTTACCGGGGAGACGCCGCCGGGCGCCAGGGTGAGAGCAGCGCGGCCCGCGGGCCGGAGGGAGGCCTGGGGGTGGGGTGGGGGGTCTGAGAGCGGCCCGCGGGCCGGAGGGAGGTCCTGGGGGGCATGAGACACGCGCACAGTCACTACACTCGACGGCGCGTCCCGCGAAGCGCTTTGAGACGTCTGGAGGACGGGATCGGGCGCCGGGTCACACCCCGGGGGGGGGGGTCACACCCCGGGGGGGGGTCACACCCCGGGTGGGGGGGGGGTCACACCCCGGGGGGGAGGGGGGGGGTCACACCCCGGGGGGGGGGGGGGGGGGAGGGGGGTCACACCAACGGGGGGGGGGAGGGGGGGGTCACACCCCGGGGGAGGAGGGGGGGTCACACCCCGGGATGGGGGGAGGGGGGGTCACACCCCGGGATGGGGGAGGTGGGGGGTCACACCCCGGGGGGAGGGGGGTCACACCCCGGGGGGAGGGGGGGTCACACACCGGGATGGGGGGAGGTGGGGGGTCACACACTGAGATGGGGGGAGGGGGGTCACACCCCGGGGGAGGGGGGGATGTGGGGGGTCACACACTGGGATGGGGGGGGGGGAGGTGGGGGATTATTATTATTATTTTTCTCTGCGTCTCCAGGTTCCCGATGGTGAAGCGCGATGGACCGACCGCTCGGTCGGAGGCGTTCGCTGCTCCGGATGACGCGGACGAGGACAGCGTTCCCGTGCGGGAGGTCCCCAGACCCCACCTCCCGGGTCCGGGTCCGGGTCCGGGTCCGGCAGCGACTGCCGCCCTTCCCGACCTGGACATCTCCCTCACTCCCAGCAAAGCCGACCCCTGCGCCGGGATCCTGAAGAAACGGGAAGGCTGTGAGAGCGGGAAAGCCGCCGGTCACCGGCAGGTAATGGGCGCGTTTTGTGGTCCCGCGCGCACGCACAACACGCGCACGCGCACGCGCGCGCGCACACACGTGCATGACACGCACGGCACGCGTACACACACGCGCGCGCACAACACACATACGTCACTCACATACACATAACACACACACACATGACACACGCGCACACACAACACGCACACGACGCATGCACACAACACACACGCACACACACATACGTAACGCGCGCACACACACACACACACATACATAACACACACAACACGCGCACGCAACACACGCACACAGCACACACGCACACAACACACATACGTCACGCACGCACGCACGCGCACACATAACACACGACACACACACACACACGCACATAACACGCGCGCAGAGACCTGTAAACATGCTCAGCCGGGTGTCTAACACGCACACGCACACGGGAAACCGGTCGCTGTGATCAGCCGGGACTGGAAGCCGGGTTCTCCCTCTTGCGAGGCGAGGGCTCCGGCCACCGCCCGACAGGGCTCCCGGTGTGACGGACTGCGGCCGTTCCATGTGATTTCAGGTCCGTTTCGACGTTGGCCGCGGGTCTGAGGACGGCAACGGGGAGGAACCGAGCCCCGGGGTCAGGGGCCGGCGGGAGGAGAGAGGACCCCCAGCCCAGCAGCCTGTCGGCGGGACATCTCACCAGCCCTCGCTGGCCAAAGCCTCCACCAGCCTCTCCAGCCACGGACAACCGCCTGGCGGGTCCCTGGGGGTCAAGGCAGGGTGCGGAGCGGGGAGCGAGGCCGAGGGGAGAGGCCCCCGGGGGGGAGAGGGGGAGGCCGGGGACTGCCCTCTGGCCGGACCTCAGTACAACACCACCCTCCTCCTGGGCCGCGAGTTACAGCAGGTCCTGGAGGCCAACTTCAACCCCAAGAAGGCCGTCCAACAGCAGCTCAGGAGGTCCTCGGTCACGCGGCAGTGCCTGGGCGAGAGGGTGGCCGAAGGTAGGCACCGCCGCGATAGGAGCAACAGAGTAATAACAGTAATAATAGTCACATCAGTACCAATGGTAATAACAGCAACCGCAGTCCTAGCAGCAGTCATAGTAATAATAGTAGTAATAACAGTAATAATAGTCACATCAGTACCAATGGTAATAACAGCAACCGCAGTCCTAGCAGCAGTCATAGTAATAACAGTAATAATAGTAGTAATAGCAACAGTAATAACAGTAATAATGGTGGTAATAGCGACAGTAATAATAGTAGTAATAACAGTAGTAACAGTGCTGTCCTCTGTGCCCCCCCCCCCCCCCCCCCCAGGCCTGAACGTGCCTGTGGACCGCCAGCGTTACTCGGGGCTGGTCAGCCTGACTGTGCCTGTGCAGGAGGTGCTCAGTCTGGCCGTGCAGGAGAGGCTCTCGCTGGCCAGACCCCGCGGGGACAACAACAACAACAAGGTAACGGCCCAGCGTGGCCCCCGGCTCCCCCCCCCCACACACACCCCCACCCCCAACCCCCACCGTCGGCGGCCGCGCTTTCAGCCACTGCGCCCCGAAACTCTTGTCGTTCTCCTTCCCCCAATCCCCCCGCCTCGCACCCCCCCTCCACCTTCCCTCCCCATCTTCGGTTCGCGGCCTGAAGACCTTCCCCTTCGACCGACCGTCCTCTCCCCCCACCCCGTCTCCGCCACTGTCCAGCGCTCTGCAAGTTGTTGCTGTTGTTGTGGAGGATGACCCGAACACGTTGATAATATGCGACAATCCCACGTTTTCGCCCACGACGGCGCCGGTAACCAATAACCGTAAGATTCCCGGCGTTCGACCCGACCCCTCGTCACGTTCCTCGAGACGCCTCGAAGCGCTTCACGGGGACACGCTGTCAAGTGTAGTGACTGTGCGTTTTGCAGCCTGTATCGAACACAAGGACTATTATTATTATTATCCACTCACAGTAACCCTCTCCCTCTATCTCCACCGCCCCCCCCACCCCCACCCCCCCCACACACACACACAGGAGACCGGCACACAGGCCCCAGACCTGATGATGTTCCACAATGTGACGGAGCTGGTGACGGAGACGCCTTACCTGGGGGTTCAGGGTCTGTCGGCCTTGACCATCCAGTCTCAGGCCAGGCCGTCAGCCTCGGTCTTCACCCTGTATCAGAAGCTGAAGCAGTGGGAGGCTTAGGGGCTGCGAGTCGCAGCGGCAGATGTGAATACTATTTTTATACCTCATTAAATGCTAATATTTAATTTACTTCCAACAGTAATTAGATCAATTACTCGCTCCTCCCAACCTCCGTGACCTCCAACAGTGACGTGCGTGCGCATACGTGTGTGTCGGACACCCGGCTGATCACGGTGACGGGTTTCCGTGTGTGTGTGGGCACACGTGTGTGTGTGTGTGTGTGCGCGTGTGTGTCAGACACCCGCCTGATCACGGTGACGGTTTTCTGTGTGTGTGCGCGCGTGTCAGACACCCGGCTGATCCCTCCAAAAAGAAATCATACCCAGACGGTGAAGTGTATTGTTTCCGCTCTCTGCCTTTATTAACCTGGTTTATATTTCTGCTGCCACTGGGTTGTGAAGCTTCTCACTGGGGGGGGGGGGAGGTGTTGGGAGGTGTCACAGAGAAGGAGAGGGGTAGATATTGGAAGGGGTCTTTCACGAGGGGGTGGGCAGTGGGGGAATCTTTGACGCGCGAGGCCACAGCCACTCAATATCTGAAATAGGCCTCTGGTCATGTTGTTGGGGACTTCTCTCCGTTCCCTTCTTTCTTCCCGACACCATGAAACAGCCCTAATGTGGAACCTACAACACAGAAACAGCAACAGGCCATCTGACCCAAACTTTGGAGAGTAAAAGGGGGGTATCCGGGGCTATCGGGGCGAGGGCAGGGAATTGGAGTGGAGGCGCAGATTGGTCGTGCCCGGCGGAACAGGCTCGAGGGGCTGAATTGGCCTCCTGTGTTTCCGCGAGGGGCCATATTGGGTCTGGCCTCTTCTGTTCCGAACCAGGTCTTGTCTCGTTCTCCTCTTAACTCTTGCGACGCAGTTACGAGGGTCTCCCTGAACGTCAGTAAAACAGGGTTCCCCCACGTCTCGCTGTCTGTCCAGAGCTGTGAGCTCTGACCGAAGTCGCAGAGAGTAAAGCGAACGGCGTGAAGGCACTCTGAATTCTGTGGCTCTCGGACTTCGAGGGAGGGAGGGAGAGGGAGAGGGAGAGAGTGAGAGAGGGGGTACAGGATAGAGAGAAGTGGGTGGGGTCAGTGGGAACCAGGATGGGTGGAGGGAGTGAGAGAGGCCGTGTCTGTGGGTGTCCGGTCAGCGATGGCGGGTGTGGAAGGCTGCTGAGGTGTCTCCTGGTTCCCTGTTGGAGCTGCGGCCGTGTGAGCGAGGTCCTCGGAGCTGGTTGGAAGTCGGTTAGGATCAGGTTCGCTTGCAGGCGGCCGACTAGAAGGATTCACAGGAGCTCGGCATTGAGATGCTTCAGTCCCGTCGCTGGGAGCTGGGCTGCCGGGCGGCGGTGGTGAGGCCTCACCGGGTATCGGAGGCTCCTCACCGACACATTGGCCTGCGTCCTTGAGGGAAGAAAGTTATTAGAAGCCACAACGGCAACAACTTGCACTTATATGGTGCCCTCCAGGGGAGAGGGAGAGAGAAAGAGAGAGGGAGGGGGTAAGGCACAGGGATTGAGGGAGAGTGTTCCAGAGTTCTGGGGCGCAGTGGGCTGAATGCGCGACCACCGATGGTGGGGCAGAGGGCGCGAGGGACGGGCAAGGTGCCAGGGAGGGAGGGAGGGATTTTTTAACAGGAGTGCGGGGAGCAGGCGAGGGACAAGCTGAGGTACCTGCTCTTCCGTCAACGCCGGAATCTCGTTCCTGACCCGTTTGAGGGGGGGAGGGCTGAAGGCGCTGTCGTGGTCAGTTGTGTCGTGGAGGTCGCTGGCTACAGACCAAGGGGCGAACTCGGGCCTCGATGGATCCACGGGAGCCAGACCAGGAGCCGCGGTGAGGAACTCGAACAGAGCCGGACTGGAGTGATCCACCTCCCTGTTCCCGTAGCTGGGCGGGAGCGGGCGAGGAACGAGGGCGGAGGAGTTTGCCCGCTTGGCTGGGGGGGAGCTCGGGCTGCGGTTGACGTGGCTGGCGGGAGCGAGTGGGGGGGAGCACGGCGAGCGGGGAGGTGTGACGGGATCCGGGTCGGGAACAGATCCGGGAAAGCAAGCGGAGGACGATTGGGAACGCCGAGGGACGAGCGTTAGACTGGAATCGGGCGGGGAGGGGCAGGGGTCCGAGGGGAGGGGATACGGGGGACTTTGACGTGTCTGTTCGAGGTCGGAGGCTGGAGGCCGGGGGTCGGAACAAGCGGGTCCGCAGGAAACGGGTCTCGAAGCTCCCGGAGAACTGGAAGAGCTTTCAAGGCCCGACCTATCGAGGCTCAACTCGAGCCTCGGCTCGGGATAAAAGCCCGGATCTTCCTGGAGGGGACTGTCTCCCGTCAAGTGGCCTCCCTGGGAAAGGGCTCCCGTTTGACGGCCGGGATCAGGATTCCGATCGCAGGAGGATTCCACCGTCGTCGTCAAGGGCTCGATGTTCAGCGAGACGTCCAGTTTGATGTTCCTGAGCCCTTGGCTGTTCCCCAAAGCCTCGTACACGCACTTGAGCCAAGGAGGGATCATCTCCACATAGGCGGCTGTCACACAAAGACAGAACAGTCTTTATTAACGGATTAATACCATTGTAGTATGTAATAATAGTGATAACGACCCTGGCGTTCGACCCAGCGCCCTCATCGCGTCTTCGAGACGCCTCAAAGCGCTTCACCGTCAAGCGTAGTGACCGTGTGCCCGTTCGGTGGGCGAACGCGCGCTCTCGCAAACAGCCGCGGGTCAGTGACGTCTTTGGCGTTGGCGAAGGGCCTGACGTGACATTGAAACGCTTGCCTTGAAAGTTAGCGGGAGGACCGATCCCGGTGCTGGAAACTTGACTTGTGGCATTTTTCATCACCTGTCCTGAAAACAGACAAAATTATTATAAAAAGATGATAATAACAATAATAATTATTATCATTCGGTCACTCAATCCCAAATCCTCGTCTCCGGTGTCCGCCCCACACACAGTTCGTTGTGTTCAGATTGTGCAGATGCATTCTCTCTGTCCCTCTCAGATACACTCTCTCTCACACTCACACTCACTCTTACACCTACTCTCGCTCTGTCTCTCTCACACACTCACACACACTCACACACACTCACGGTCTCTCTCACACACTCACTCACACACTCACTCACTCACACGCACACACGCTCTGTTCCTCGCGCACACTCACACACACTCACACACACTCACGGTCTCTCACACACTCACTCACACACTCACTCACTCACACGCACACACGCTCTGTTCCTCGCGCACACTCACACACACTCACACACACTCACGGTCTCTCACACACTCACTCACTCACTCACACACACGCTCTGTTCCTCGCTCACACTCACTTGGTCTCTCACACACACTCTCACACTCCCCTCTCGCTTTCTCTCAAACACACCATCGCTCACACACTCCGTCTCTGGGCTCACACTCGCGCGCACACTCACACACGCGCACTCACGCACACACACACACGTTGAATGCCCCCCTCTCAGAGGTGAAGGTGAGGCTGACAATCCTAACAGTCGCCGACACAGCCTCTGCTCGACACTCACTGTGTATCCGAACTGCTATGAATTTTCTCGATAAGTGTTTCACCTTTGAGAGGATCTGTCACAAAACAAAATGAACATAAAGGGTTTAATCTCACACGAGATCGTAACAATCGCTTGATTTACTGAGGACAGAGGTTTGTGAGGTGAGGGGGTCTTACAGAATGGCGGAACAGGCTCGAGGGGCTGAATGGCTTCCTCCTGTTCCTACGTTCCCTCCCTCGCCTCCCTTCAAGATCCTCCTCCTCGACCGACCGCACCTTCGGTCACCCTCGTTTCTACCCCCAACCTCCTTCCCTCCCCTCCCTGCCCTCCACCCCTCCTGATCCCAACCCCCAAAGGCCTGAGTGTCCAGGGCCTTGGGACATCCTCCCGACGTGAAAGCAAGTTTCGCCCACAAAACACACAGTCACTACATTCATTACAGTGTGTCCCGTGAAGCGCTTTGAGTCGTCTCGAAGGCGTGATAAGGCGCCGGGTCAAACGCCAGGATTATTATTATAAGTTGTTGTTCTAAGCCCCAACCCCCAAGTCTTTTGTTGTCTTGCTGACCACGAAGGCTGGTCTGGGGGTCATTGCCCGGCAGCCCCGGCCCACCCACTCACCCACCCACCCACCCCATTGCCCCAGCCCCCACCTCGCTTACCAACACGAGAGTGTTGATGATCATGATACAGGCGATGGAACAGCCGAAGAACCCGAATAAAACGCGCTCTGTGGTTGGACAGGCCTGACCCGGAGAACACAACGGTCCATTGAGGGACCACTCACTTCCAGGCGACGACATCACCATGGAGAGACGGAGTGAGAGAGACGGAGAGAGAGAGACAGAGACAGAGAGACAGACAGAGCGAGGGAGTGCGCAAGAGAGATAGTGAGAGAGAGATGGAGCGAGAGAGAAAGGGGAGAGGAGGACAGTGAAGGGAGATGGAAAGACCGCGTGGAGAGACAGACAGAGAGAGAGAGAGAGAGAGAGAAAGGCAGGGAGAGAGAGAGAGAGGTAGGGAGATGGAGGAGAGAGGCTTGAAAGGCTGGAGAGGAGATGGAGACTGAGGGACGCTATTGGAGAGAGATGAATAAATGGTGTTGATCGAGTCAGAGCATTGTGACCTGCCTCGAGGACCTTTGTTACTCTCACAGTCGCTCAGTTTATCACCATTGCCTGAAATCGCTCTCTCTCTCACTCGAACCCACAGAGCTGTAATATAATAATAATATAATCCTAATGGCGCCTTATCACGTCCTCGAGACGTCTCAACGATTTGATTGAGGTGCCCTCCGCTGAACACTTCCAGCCACCGCGCCCCGAAACGGTCTCTCTCGCTCTCTCTATCCCTCCCTCCGTCTCGCCCCTTTCCCTCCTTCTCCACCTTCAGACCCTTCCTCTTCTTCGAGCCTGGCCTGCGGTCACCTCCTCCCCCTCCCAGCTCGGGATCGCGCTCAGCCACCCTCACGCGCTCCGCCACGCTGCCCGGCACCAGGACCGCTGCGCAAATGCAAGCTGTCCTTGTCGTTGACCTCCCGGAACGCTTCACGGAAAATAAAGCGCAGCGACTGTGTATCTTTGTCTGCAGCTGATCGCGGCCCCGGCGACGTCCCACAAACAGTCGTGGATTGAGTGACCGAATTATTATTATTGTTATTATTTTTATTTGGAAGTTTTATTACCCCCAGAAAGCGATTCCCCCAATTGGCTGACAAGCGGGTTCCTACTGACTGCTGATAAACAGGCGTGTGTGTGTGTGTCTGTGAGTCTGTGTGTCTGTGAGTCTGTCTGTGAGTGTGTGTGTGTGTGTGTGTCTGTGAGTGTGTGTGTCTGTGAGTCTGTGTGTCTGTCTGTGAGTCTGTGTGTGAGTGTGTGTGTGTGTGTGTGTGTGTGTGTGTGTGTGTCTGTGAGTCTGTGTGTGAGTGTGTGTGTGTGTGTGTGTCTGTGGATTAAGGAAACTTGCCTACGGTTTGGTCCTGACCTGACCCGCCCGGGAATCGAATCAAACCCAGGTCCTCTCGCGGGCGAGGCGAGCTCTTTTAACCACTGAGCCACAGGACAAACCGTTGCCTAATACACAGAGCACGAAGGTAAGGACGGCGGGCGGGCGCGGGCGCGTGTGAGAGTGTGCGCGTGACACTAGGCAGCAAAACAAAAACGCTTACGATTTGTTCCGTGGGAAAACCATCTTGTTTTTTGATTTTTTTATTCCTAATATTTGCAGACGAGAGGCGGAGCAGCGCAGTCTGTACCAAAATCAAACCCGTTAACAACCTATTTTAGGTCCTCAACTGCAAGCGCACGCCATCAATCATAGACATCGGTCCAGTCAGCTGACAGCAGACACCTTGAAAACTCCGCACCAACTGTGGTGCCAAAGGCCAGCCTGGCTCAGAGGGATTGGGGGAGAGCTTCGGGGGGTAGAGGCTGAAATGGGCGGCCGGCGATGGTGGAGGGGAGGGCACGAGGCACATGCAAGGAGGCCGGAGCCGGTCGAGCGGAGGCAGCGGGTAGTGGGTTGGGGGCTGAGCAGGTCGGAGAGAGAGAGAGAGAGAGAGGTCGGGAGGGAGGTGCGAGGGTGGGAAGGGATTCGAAAACGAGTGAGAGGGTCTTGAAATCCATCTGTTCGGTGATAGGGAGCCCGTGGAGGCTGCCGAGGGCTGGGGTGATGGGGTTTAGTGGGGGTGATAGGGAGTCCGTGGAGGCTGCCAAGGGTTGGGGTGATGGGGTTTAGTGGGGGTGATGGGGAGCCAATGGTCACTCAATTTGGTCACCCAATCCACGGCTGTATGTGGGACGTCGCTGAGCGCAGTCGGCTGCCGCGTTTCGCCCGCAAAACACATACACAGTCACTCCACTTTACAGCCTATTTTTTCAAGCGCTTTGAGACATCTTGACAGACGTGATGAGGCGCTGTATCAAATGCAAGTATTATTGTTAATATTATTATTCTGACGACGATAGCGCTCCTACCCCCAGGGAGTCAGAAGATTGTGGGTTCAAGCCCCCCCACACACACACACACACACAAAATCAGTCAGGAGTTTTGAGCTCACAGTCTATAGCCTGTGAACGAGACAAGAGCGCAGGATTTTCGGAGACGTCGAACTTCAGCTCCCGTCTGTCCTGGTGAGTCTCGGCTGTTGGGTGTCAGAAGGCCATAGCCACCCAGCCAAAGATCAGCAACGAGCCCCCATAAGGGGCCGCTTTGGTGAATGTGCTGTCGCCTGTTAACGCCTGGTAATAGAGGGACCCACAGAACATCACCATCCCAGTGGTCAACAAGGAGCCAGCCTGCAGACACAGCAAGAGAATTACTATTCGTAGAATCGTAGGATTATGCAGCACAGAACGAGGCCATTCGGCCCAGCGTGTCCGTGCCGGCAGCTCTTTAAAAAGAGCTTTTACAAATAAATCCCACAAGCGCAGCGCAGGGGGGAGAGAGAGCGAGAGAGACAGAGACTGAGACACAGAGAGAGAGAGAGAGAGAGAGAGAGACGCATTGTCGGAGGCTCCGTCCTTTTCGGGCGAGTAGTTTGAGGAGAGTAGCCCTGTTCGAGGCGGACGTTAAAGATCTCCCGCAGCGCAGTCGGGGGGAGAAAGAGAAAGGGAGTGAAAGACCCCTCCACTCCCCCACCCCCTATCCTTCTCCCCCCAAAGACCCAACAGCCAGTGAGGAGAATATGTACCAGCAGTGGAGCTCGACAATGAGGGACCCCCAGCAAGGCCAGGCTGTGCAGGAAATGGTATTTATTTGCCGTTTCAAACAGCTGTGAGAGAGAGAAACAAGACATTATATTAATAATAATAATAATAATAATCCCGGCATTTGACACAGCGCCTTGTCACGTCTTCCAGACGTCTCAAAGCGCCTCACAGGATTCACTGTAAAGTGTAGTGACTGTGTGTTTCGTGGGCGAAACACGGCAGCCGATTAATAACAATAGTCATCCTTGCATCGGATAGAGCGCTTTATCATGTCATTGAGACGTCTCGACGTGAAAAGGTGCGATATCAAACGCAAGGATTATTATTATTATTATTATTATTATTATCCTCACCAAACTCCACCCCCCCCATCACCCCAACCCCAGTCCTCACCTCCTTCAAATATTCGTCTCGGTCACTGCGTCGGAATCCTACGGGACGACAGAAACGAAAATAAAACAGCAGCCACTTGCAATGTCGCGGCGTCCCGCGAAGCGCTTCGAGGCGTCTGCACAGCGGCGTCAAACGCAAGTGACATTGTTGTTTATTATTATTGCTGCTGTTGTTGTTGTTGTTCCTGCAGAATGAGCGGCTTTAATCGTCACTCTGCGGCACTTGCCTGAACGCTTCAGAGAGACGAAACAGTGGGCAGACGGACACACGCCCTCCAGTGACAGCCTTCAGCTGATAAAAGCGACAGAGTTTCTGCTCCCCTCCCTCCCAGCAAGACTGCAATTCCACTGATATGTAACCGCGTCCACCCCCTCCTTCGGTTACCTCCCCCCCACCCCCCCTTCGGTTACCTCCCCCCCCCGGCCTCCTGCCGCGCACTCGGCCGTTAAAACGGGACGTTAACACCAATCCCCGCTCATTCGGCGATAATAATTCTTCCGTTCGCCGCGGCGCCTTTCACGGCGGGAACGCTGCAGGGGCTTCGCTGTCGGGTCTGGTGGTGACTGCGCGTTACCCGGCAGCCGGTTCTCGCAGCCACGTCCCCCCCCCTCCCCCCCCCCGTCGCCGTACGTCGCCGCGGCCCCCGACGTTTGGGTGGGGGGGGGGTCGGGGTTTATAATAATAATAATAATAATCCTTGCATTTGATATAGCGCTTTTCACGTCGGGAAAAAAAAGTTTGAGACTTGAGTCCACAACCTTCTGACCTGACCCCCCACTGAGAGCCAAAGGTGACACCCATCACCTCTCTCTCTCTCTCTCTCTCTCTCCCCCTCTCTCTCTCCCCACCACAGCCCCTCCGGGGGGTGGGGGGGGGGGGGGGGGACCCCTGGTCGGCTGTGTGGGTGCACAAAGCGAAGGCCAGACAGGAGGACAACCCTCTGACATTACCGTGGGCTCCGTAGGCACCGGCGGCGACGGCCAAAGCCCCTGAGACACCGGCCAACCTGCCGAACAGTCTGGCCGACATGTCTGTGTCTGTCTGTCTGTCTGTGTCTGTGAGAGTGAGTGAGTGATCAGCTGCTCCAACTGGATACACTCGGCCAATCGGCTACATCGCTGCCCATCAACCAATCAGAACCCGGCCACGCCCCCTCCACGCCCCGCCCGACGCGTGTCTCGACCAATGGGCGCGCGGGTGGAAGGCGGGACTCGCTCTCGGGCAGCCAATCATACGCCCGAGGGGGCGGGGTTGTCCCTCCCCGCGCCGCGCGCGAAGGGGCGGGAGCAAAATGGCCGGGGAGGGGGAGGGGCCGGATGATGCAAGTGATGACGACGGACGCCGCGACCAATGGGAGGACAGGATCCCGGGCGGCGGCGGCGGCGGCGCGAGCGCGACGGAACGGTGGGGGGTAGCGCGCATGCGCGCGGGGAGGAGGCGAACGCGCACGCGCGGGCGGGGAAAGCGCGCGAAAGGCGGTTAATCCGCCCGTGAGGTGACGAACGTCGCCATCTTTTTTTTTTCTCTCTCTCTGTGTGAATCGTCGTCGTCGTCGTCGTCCCGCTGCCCCGTGAGAGTGACTGAGTGAGTGAGAAACCATCAACAAACACAGCGGAGAGAAGAGAGAGAGAGAGAGAAGGAGGGAAAGAGAGAGAGAGAGACTCGGGGGTTGGAAGGGGGGAAGGGGCGGCCCTGACGGTGGGCGTCGCGTGGGAGAGAACGGTTTATATCTCTCCCCCCGTCTCCCCCCCTCCACCCTCCACCCTCAGGTCCTGACTGACTGTCCACCACCATGGGACGTCCTCCCGCCAACCCCCCACCACCTTCCTGACCCCCCCCACCCCCCCCACCATCCCAACCCTGACCCCCCCCCACCCCCCCACCATCCTGACCCCCCCCCACCATCCTGACCCCCCCCCACCATCCTGACCACCCCCCCCCACCCCCCCCCCACCATCCTGACCCCCCCCCACCATCCCAACCCTGACCCCCCCACCCCCACGATCCCTGACCGTCCAGCGCATTGGGACATCCTCCCGAAGTGTTGCTGTTGTTGTTGTTGTTGAGGGTGGGGGGGGGGCAGACAGCAGGCCGAGCGGAGTCAGTGGGTGGGTGGGTGGGTGAGGAGTGGGGAGGGGGGGAGGGAGTGGGGAGGGGGGGGGGTACGCAGGTCGGAGAGGTGGGGAGGGCACGAGGGGCTGTGAAGTTGAGTGAGGAGGGTCCGTTGGGTGACGGGGAGCCACGGTGTGGGGGGGGGGGGCGGTGGGAGTCCGTCTCAAAGCGCTTCGCTGGACACGCTGTAGAGTGTAGCGACTGTGTGTTTTGTGGGCGAATCGCGGCCCCGTCCCCCGTCCCCCGTCCCCACCACAAACAGTCGCGACCACCTTCTTCTTGTTTTTTTTTTACAAAAGGATTATTGGCCCCGAAAACCACCCGCGAGCGGCCGCCGATCGTGTTCCTACCAGTTAGACGGGGGCGCGTGTGCGCGGAGTAAGGAAGCCCAAAGTCTCGCCCCGCCCGGGAATCGAACCCAGGTCCTCTCAAACCATTGGAACTCCAAACCCTACGGTCCCCCTCCTTTGCCTCCTTCAACGTCTCAAGAACCCCCTCTTTGACCAACTGCGCCTTCGGTCACCCTCCTTACCCCCACCCTCGTACCCCACCCTCCACCCCTCCTGAACCGGGCTCTCGTTAATAATAAACCCGGCAACTCGGGGCTTTGGCTGCCGGACCGTTCACTTAACGACAGCGGCTGAGGTGCAGACGTTTAACGACGCGGAGGTCGAGGCACCGCAGACACAGCTCCCGTCAAAACCCCCCCCCACAGGATTGTGTAGCTCAGTGGTTAGAGCGCTCGCCTCGCAAG